TGCCTCCCAAACTGATCAAGCCAATCAACTGTCTCACCTATTCAGAGGGCCTGATCCAGCTGGGAGCCCATCAGTCTTTGGTTCATAGTTCATGTGTTTCCATTCATTTGGCTATTTTTTTTTTAAGAAGAAACATCTTAAGCACAGTTACATATTTGCTCTTGCTGGAATTCTGGCATTCCTAAGTGGAAAGGATGTTTATTGTAAAAGCCAAACAGAATTGTAGGTCATTACTGCTCTTCCTGAACTTCCTGTATTAGTCAGCTTTCTTTCTCTGTGTCAACAGGCCTGAAAAAATTAGCTAGTGTAAAGAGAGAAAAGGTTATAAACCTTGTGGGTTTAGAGGTTCCAGGTCATAGTTAGGTGGGTCCATGGCTTTTAGGCTTCTGCTAGAAACGCCAGGTAGCAATGGTACGGAGTGTTGGTCTAACAAAAACCACTCATCTCGTGGCTAGGAAGCAAAAGGAAGAAAGGGACCAGGATTTGTTTTCAAAGCCCCACCCCTGATGACCTAAGCCCTGCCGCCCAGAGGTTCACCGCTTCGCATAGCACTCCCTTTGGCACGTGGGGCTGTGGGGTCCGGTCACCCAGCATCCAGATTATAGCACTCCCCTCCCGGTGCTCCGGTGCAGAACCAGCTTTCCCCACGCTTCTTCGGAGTCAACAGAACAGGCAGGCAGAGATAGTTTCACTCGTGTGCTACCTTTATAGAAAGGGGAGAAAACGGAGAGGTGAATGACAGGGATGGAAGGAGAGAGCAGGAGAGGCACTTTGGCCCATGTGCAGGGACTCAGCCACATGAACCTGACCCTGCCAATGAGAGTTGGGGAGGCAGGTAAAGAGAAGGACTGGCAGTAGCAAAGAGTGACATGCTGTTCCTGCAGCCCCGACTCAGCGCCAGAACAGAGGCTCCACACACAGCTGAGCATAGACCGTGGAGTCCTGCTGCAAGCTGTGGTTGGAGAAGAGAATGTTGTGGAATCTAAGTGAGGAACAAAGGCTGCTGCAGCGTTTTTGTGATTTACCGTGGAAAACACTAGAGTTAGGTCTGAGTTTTAACCTGAGATCTTAGTGAGGGTAGACTTTAAAAGGGAAAAAGATGATCTATGGACCAGCAAGTGTTGTGTTTGGGTTTAATTGAGCATCCTGGAATGGAAAATGGGCCCGTTTTTCCTACATTGAAAGGTCTTAATGAAGGCCCATGCCTATTTGAGGAGTTAAATTTTACTGACTGTCATTTTATCCCCCATAGAAAAGCCCACAACCACCAGTGTATCTCCCCAGTAAACTAAAGTTGCATTCATTGATTCAGCAAGTGCATGGTTGTGGCAGAGGCATCTGTTTTCTGTTTACCTCCAGCTGGATTCTAACAATTCTTTTGGTTTTGGTTTTGTTTTTTCCCCCGAGACAAGGTTTCTCTGTGTAGCTTTGCGCCTTTCCTGGAACTCACTTGGTAGCCCAGGCTGGCCTCGAACTCACAGAGATCCACCTGCCTCTGCCTCCGAGTGCTGGGATTAAAGGCATGCACCACCACTGCCCGGCTAGGAGCACCTTTTCTATTTTCAGGTTTTTGAGAAAAATCCATATTCATTTCA